AAAGTAAATAGGAATGTGATAGACCATGCAGCAACGTAGTTTTAAAAAGCTAGATTACCCAAATGGAGGGCAGAAACATGGCTAGCTGTTCTTCTAGGCAAAGTCTGAGTTACCAGCCAGGATCCATTTGTAGTCCCTCCACCACTAGTTAAAAGCTTTGATTAGGACATGACGCTATGCAGAATGCGTGCCTAATTCAGCTCTGATTGCAAGGACTGAAGTGTTCTTATTAGTTCCCAAGATGCATCTTAAAAAACAACTATGTTTTTGTGCAAGTAGGGGAGCTTTGAGTAGACCCCACAGCTTTGCCCCATAGGTGAGTACAGGGGCAATTTTGGCTTTATATACCTTTAGTATAGGAGACTGTAATGGGCTGTGAGAATAACCTTGAGGAAGAGGAGGAAGAGCCACAGCCAAGTCAATGGTCAAATAAGAGAAATCTGAGTCCAAAGGTGGAATGGAGTTGGAGAAAGCATCTCAGCATGCTGGCTGGGGAAATTCTGGGAGTTGTCCATACCTCTTAAAGTTGTTGAGGTTGAGAAACACTGATCTAGTCAACCTGCTCCAGTCCGACAGAAGAGTTAATCGAGATTCCTTCAAAGGATTCTTCAGTAAATGTGTGGATTGTTTTTCTTAAACCTTTTCCTCCCAGGGGCACTGTTTATAAAACACCCTTGGGGTTATCTGAGTCTAAATTGTTATGGTTATATACATAAATGCTGGTATCCTCTTGGCCAGGTGGAGCTTGAAGGGAGCTGGTTTTCTCCAATGGAAAACACAGATTGGAAAATCAAAAAAGAGCATCAAAAAGGCTTTATTTTAACCAACGTTGGGAGCTGTAGGTTGCCCAAATGTCAGTAGGACTCACCAGCAGCCACCTCTAGATGGATGTTCTTCAGCCTTCTATAAATCTACCAGTTGTCTTTTGCAGTGTAAAAACCGATTCAAAGACCCAATAACTGCTTTTCCCCCTCATCGACCTCTATTTACTCTGCTGTTTCTAATTTGCAGAAGTGGTCTGATTACTTTAGAGATAGCTTTGGTCTTTCATGAGCCTCTCTTCTTTCAGCAGTTGGTTATTCAGAACCTGCCTCTGATTCTCCCTTGCATGAATGCTCGACCCTCTCCATTCATTCTTCTCATTTTCTTCTCTCAATCTAAATTCGGGAATAAGTTCTTTCTGTCCTCCGCTGGCTATTTGTGAAGCCCACATCCTGCACAGTTCATTGGCTTTAACAATCGGGCGATTTTTATTTGGTTGACTCCCAGTAAACTTTACAAAAGACTTTTTTAGTGAATCTTCTTGGTTTTTAACTGGGGCCAGCAGCTCCAAGATTGAAAGAACAGTTTGTGCTCTTAATAGACTAAGTCTGCATATAAAGTCACTCATATTTCCTTCTTTCAGGTATTTTAAATTGGCATCCAGGGCCCCATCCTGAGTAAGCCGAATGGCTGCTGAACGAACTGCTGTAAAATGTAAAATGTAAAATGTGAATGTGAATGTAAAATGTGCTGTAAAATGGCTGCTGTACCGAGGGAAGGAATCTTCCATGGAGGAGGAAAATTCCGTAAGTTGCTGGTTTTCAACCTCCCCTTGTAAATCGCACTCTGAAGGCTCATATCTGCCAGATGGACACGGAGGGGTGATGTTGCTTACAAGGAGGGCTGCTTAATTGTGGTATATCTGTCAACTATCAGCTATTTCATAGGCTTGGATGAAGACTGTGTTGCAGAAAGTATGCGCTGTCTCTTCTTTCCACTTCCCAGTATAACAACAATTTATTATGAGAATATTCTCTCCGCTCGTCAAAGCATTCCGATGGGTAAGGAAAAGAAACGCTAGCCCAGAAGAAGCAGTAATAAGGGAGGTGATGGGGACGTAGGATAAAAAAAGTAAAACAATAATATACGGTAACGTAATGGTAACTTTAAAAGAGTTCATCATAATGATTGCTACCTCATCACCACTTTGTAAGCTGCCCAGAGTCACTGTGTATGAGTTGGCTGGCCATATAAATTTTCTAGATAAATAAATAGAGGTAGTCCTCGCTTGTCCAGCGACTGTTCAAAGTTATGACAGCACTGAATAATGAGACTTACGACCAGTTCTCGAAATTCTGGCTGTCGCAGCATGCCTGCAGTCACGTGATTGCAATTCAGGCGCTTGGCAACCGGCATGCACTTACGACAGTTGCAGCGTCCACAGTCACGTGATCACCATTTGAGACCTTCACAGCTGGCAGGAAGCTGGCAGGAAGTTGCAAGTCACAGGTCACATGACATCATGCTTAACAACCTGCAGTGATTTGCTTAATGACCACAGCTTGAACTGACAAACTGTAGTCATAAGTCGGGCGTGGTCATGTGACTTTTTCCTTTACGACCTTGTTGCTTAGTGAGGGTTGCCAGTCCCAAATGCAGTTGGTAAGTGAAGACTACCTGTACTAAATTTAACTAAAAGTTTGATTTTTCTCTCCTCCTAAACTTTATTGAGGTTGTACCAGTAAATTATATTGGCTGTGTATACTTGGACGGATCAGTTAAAGTTCTGGCAACCACCTCTGTGCAACACATTAAGCCTGGATAAAATTAAGCTAGATTACTACTTTGAGTTTTTTCCTGTCTGGGGTGGCTTATGGTTTGCTTTTTTGTGTGGATCCAGAAAAACACAGATGAACGTATTGTGTGAATGCAGCCTCTGTGTTCTACAAAAGTTTCCTGGGTTGGGAAAAAGAGAGTGGATTCGGTTTCAGCATTCAGTGAGATGAATGTTACAGTCCCACATGCGGAAAGATCTGGCTCTTCACATTTACTACAACCTGACTGCTGGGAAACGGGGGAAAATATGAATGGCTTTCTTTCCAGACTTGTGGTTCTTGACTCCCCCACCCCACCCCCGGGATTCCAATTTTTCTCTTGTTCCCACAGCATCCAGCTGGCAAAGGTGTCACTACCACCAGACAAACTACCAGAAGGTGTCACCTTCACCTTGCACTGTGCTCAGTGCTTGGCAGACGAACAAATGCCTTGCTGATTCAGGAGCAAACCCTCTGTTTTGTGATGAACATACATTTGACAGGAAAAGAGAAAACAGAACGGTAGAAAGTTCCTGGGAACCGTTGGCAACACTGGGCCTGCTTTCCATGTGGGCACTGGAAAGGAGGATATCCAATCCTTCGTCTGCCCCAGCGGCTTGAGGAATACCCCTCTCCTGGAAAAAGAAATTAAAAGGATGCACGCATACCCCAGCTACGCACACCAAATGCTGAATTTTCTTGCCTCCTTCTTTCCATTTCCACATAAAATATGAAAATTACATTGTGTATTTTTCTATGTAGGCTCCCTCCTGATTTCAGCCTTCCAAATATTGTTCACCAACATTTCACTTTCAACATTTTTTTTTCCAACAGGATTTTTTCAGGGAGTCCTTCCAGAAGATGGTGGTGAGCAGGGTTCTCTAAAGACACTTGCTCACTACACTTGCAACACAATGTTAACAGTGCAAAGCACACTCAGTGGTTGTACTCCCTTGGCTTGCTTAACCTGATTATTGAATTAACCCATTTTCAGGGGTGGCACAAAACACTGAACCATACATTATCCAAACAGTTGGATACACAATTGTTACAGCATAAGCTCTAAGCCACGAAAAATGAACCAAAGTTAATATCAATAAAACTTAGCATGTTGTGCAAACATATCCTCATCTTTCCCCTCACCTGTGAACACAGCCACAGTTCACATGCTAAGAAGGCAGGGGAGAGCGTGCAACTTGAGCCAACTGAATAATCCTGGTTCAGAATCTTCCCCAACTCACAGATGAGTTTTTCTACAACATGAAAGGTTTAAGGGTTGTGGATCTCAGCAAAGTGTCTTCTTAACTGATCAATCAACCCCCATTTGGGGGGTATAGTAGAGAGATGTCAAAGATCAAATGCCCCGTCTTGCAGGTTTCTCTAAAGTTCTCTCACAGGCCCTGCATTAAAATCAGGGACACCACAAACATCTGCTTTTGCTCACCAGCATTATCACTCATCTCACATCTGGGGACTCTGCAAAAAAGTTAGCTTAACATTAGAAAACAACCCCACATAAAGCCACAGCAGTGCGAGGAGAGTGAAGGAAACCTTCAAGAGGCCACATAATGAGCTGAGCTAATGGCCTTCCAGAAGAAGACATGTCCTTTTGACCACTGATGGGGCAATACTTCTGGGAAAAGAAGGTGCCAGAGGCTTTCTAAGAAGGTTCCCATCATTCTTTTCAGCTGTTACCCATTAACACATGTTGATGTGTTCCCCTCCTGATCAGGCCATTGTCAAAAAGCCACAATTCACAAGGTTCCAAATGAACTGACACCTGCACCAATAAGTCCATGAGATAGTGACCAAGGAGGTTGGGATGAAAATCTTCACTTCTAAGTACTCAGGGATGAGGGGAATCAGAGTCATTTTTTCATGGGGGGCCATATACATTGGATGAATAAATAAATAAAAGTAATAAGATTGGAAGGTGGCCATATGAAACAGGCTAGGAGAACCCCACAATGGGATTAGCTGAAATCCTGAAATCTGCAGGATACGATGGTCACCTTGATGGGACTCTCAGTAAACTAGTGAATGAAACTTCAGGCCAGGGACACATAAAGTCCTGCCCTGGGCTCCACCAACTCTCTCCTTGTTTACCTTCCATCCTAGTTTTCAAGGTTGGGTTTGTCCCATTGACCTGGAAATCAAACCCACTGAGATGGTCAAAGGTGTGGGCCCCATTTAGCTTAAGAAAGAGAAAACTGAGGCAAGATACAAGAATGGACTAATGGGTAGAAAAGGACCGATGAACTGAAACTTCAAAAACAGAATGATTCAGGATGATTAGGAAGAATTTCCTGATGGCACAGGCTGGTAAGAAGTGGAACAAGGCTGGACTCCCTTCTCCACTGCTGGTGCCTTTCAAATGGGGAGGAGGAGGGGGGGGGAGGCACTTGCTGAGGATGGTTCAGCTCAGTGTTTCTCAACCTTGACAGCTTGAAGATGTATGGACTTCAACTCCCAGAATTCCCTAGCCAGCAGTCCACACATCTTCAAGCTGCCAAAGTTGAGAAACACTGGTTTAATCAAATCACAGAGTGTATGAGTTGGAAGAGATCATAGAGATGTTCTGCTCCAATACTTGCTCAGTGTGGGAAGTCGCTAAACCAGTGTTTCTCAACTTTGGCAGCTTGAAGATGTGTGGACTGCTGGCTAGGGAATTCTGGGAGTTGAAGTCCATACATCTTCAAGCTGCCAAAGTTGAGAAACACTGGTTTCATCAAATCACAGAGTGTATGAGTTGGAAGAGATCATAGTGATGTT